AATTACTTAAAAACGGGAGCATTGTGAAGAATATCACTACGTCGACCAGCCTACAGAGGTCTATAGTTACGCTTGCTTCTCTCGCAAGTGCTAAGATACATAAGTATCTGTTTATATAGAACTTCTTTCTAATATCTCCCCCAGGCGTCTAAGGTAGGTTTCCATTACAATTACCTTACTGATGAGTCTAGTAGTGGAAACTGGGACGAAACGCCAACTTGCGATATTCTTCGCAATCTTATTTTTCACAGAATTTGATTTATTGTTAATTTAATTTACATTAATTAATAACAAATCATTAAAATTTAATATATGTCTTTCAACATATTATTAAGATCCAATAAGATGCTATAAGCATCAAATATTGTTAGATTGCGTGTCAATTTAACTAGTGATATTACTACGGTAGTTATTTAGAGTTGCGTTTGTAAAAGACTGAAAATATTTCGGCGCGCGATTAAAGAAGACTACATATGTGGTAAATAAAATTCACACATTACTGTAGCAACCTAAATCTTGCTTGAAATTAAAATTGGAAAAATGGGAAAATATTCCATTTATTATCTTTTTTCATTATTATTATTAATGTATTATTAATTAATAAGAATAAGGAAACCGCAATAACTAACGGTCTACTAAGCCATCTACGGTCAAAGCTAGATCATTATGCTTATTATAATGTGTGAATTTTATATACCCATATTTGTTTAATTACGTCAGCCTGAAAATAGACGTTATTACTACTTTAGATAAATGATTGCGAAGAATATTATTACGTCGACTCGCCATCAGAGGTCTATGGATATTCGCAATGTTTCTCGCAAGTGCTGAAATACGCGCATATCTGTATATATAGAATCTCGATTTAATAACTAAATAGGCGTCTAAGGTAGGTTTCCATTACAATGCTTTACTGATGAGTCCAGTAGTGGAAACCGGGACGAAACGCCAACTCGTGTATATTCTTCGCAATCTTATTTTTCACAGATTTTAGATTCATCATTACTTTAACATTTACATTGTTAAATTTTAATATACGTCTTTCAACATATTATTAAAGATCTAATAAGATGCTATATAGAAGCATCAAATAATTGTTAGATGTGCTTTAGCAATTTAACTAAAAAGTGATATTACTGCGGTAGTTGTTTAGTGTTGCGTTGTAAGTCTGAAAAAATTTTCGGCACGTGATTGGGAACTACATACGCGGTATATAAAATTCACACATTATAATAAGCATAGTGATCTAGCTTTGACCGTAGATGGCTTAGTAGACCGTTAGTTATTGCGGTTTCCTTATTCTTGTTAATTTATAATTGTACGGTCGTAATAAGGATTCTAATATTTGTTTAATGTATTATTATTATTATTTTTGCTTGTCGCCGACGTTAATTTTATATAAAGAAAGAAGGATATATGAAAATATTTTGTATTTAATTATACGCCTTTATATAATTCTTATATGAAAAATGTTCTATCATATAACTTTTGTTGAAATATGTTTTTAATATGGCTCAATAAATTTAAAACTAATATAGAGAAACAGGACTACGAGTCAATAAATTCGTTAAAATCTTTTAATTTATTCTAATATATTACGAAAATATCATGTAATTTTTGGCGTTTCGTCCCGGCTTCCACTACTGGACTCATCTTTTTAATTTGATTTTTCATTTTTGATTGTCGTTTTGGTTCCTTTTCATGATCATAGAGGTACTAAGTTCTTCATAACGTCTGGCACGCTCTTGAATTTGTCGATAAACACGCGCCGTCATTATCTACGCCACGCCGTAATTATCTACTGAACCATGCCTGCCCCTAGAATATTTGTCGCGCAACCCGTCGCACTGCCTAGTATGTATCTGCAACACCCTGTACATATAGATATATAATAATACTGTACTAATAAAGATAATTACAGTAATTAGCCAATTAATAGCACAATTGTTAACAGTTTTCAGTTACATTCATAATCTGTGAAATCTTATGCATCGTCTTTACTCGAGTAAAGCTTTGTTGTCACGACAAATTTACGTGAAAAATATCTTAATCTATTTTGATGATCAAAATAGCACAATGGAATAGTATAAAATATTTACGTTGTTTCCACGATTTGCCACGATCCGTAAGGTTGCGGTCTCTCAGGTATACTGTAGTCTCGCCAGTAAGGTCGTTCTTCTTCGACCGTCTTTTTCTTTATTTCAGCGCTTTCCTCAGTACCTTGAACGTCATCGCTTTCAACTGGTCGTTTCCTGAACTCTTTCATCTTCTCCCTCTCGACATTGGCCCGTTGCTCCTCAAGAATATCTGCCTTCGTGGTTACTTCCTCTCTATCCAATTGTTCCAAGAGCTCTCTCTGGATCATCTCTTCCTTCGCCTCCTCTTCTTGCTCAGCGAAAGTCATGTAGCCTTCTTCCGGAGGTTCCCAAACCGATTCTATAATGTATATAAAATATTTATGGAATGCTCAATAACAGATATCTCGTATGAGATTTAATTAAGATTTATAATACCATAAGAAAAAACAAAGTAAAATTTTGGTTACGTGGAGCGTAGATCAGATTTATTTATGTCATATCCTTGTTTCACGTCAAATAGATAATGAAGATGGAATAATACAAATAGCATTTCCCCGAACGCAGTCATAATCATAAATTCGTAATCATATTTCATCAATATAACATAAATAAAATAATCTTACATCTTTAAATACTATTTGAAAGACTTTTTTGACAAGAATAAAATGTAGTTAAGCAAATTATATAAATAATAAATTGAAGAAACATAATTTGAAAATTACATAATTTAAGAAGTAAATATAATATAAGTCAGGTTCGATTCCCGGCCGAGGTAATATTTTTCGCAATAAAAAGAATGGTAAATATATAGATTAGGGGAGCCACCCCCGATGATCTTGACCTTGACATATGTTGTCAAGTCACTGTCCGTTAAAAAGTTATTAACAAAAAAAGTTTCAAAATTAACGTACCATTTCTCGGAAATTATACATATTAACGTATAATTTCTGCCATATATGTATTATAACAAGTACTATTTTACATCTCCTTCTGTTTAAAGTAACTCTCACCTCCCCCAACCCCCTGCGAAGGGGCACACGACTTCTACGATTGTACTGTTGCTATGATAGTACGGTCGGGGCAGACCTCTGACGACGGTGTGGGTGCGGGGGGGTGGCCGGAGGCCGCCCCCTTGCACCCGCCCGTGTGTGTGTGTGTGTGTGTGTGTGTGTGTATGTGTGTGTGTGTGTGAAATATCAAGTAATAGACTCATAATCGTTATATAACGAATGGAACGCACGCACGCACGCACGCACGCACGCACTCACGCACTCACGCACGCACGCACGCACGCACGCACGCGCGGGCGGGTGCAAGGGGGTGGCCTTCGCCCCCCCCCCCGCAC